CAAGAACAGATGTCACAAAGCCCACACATTATTTCTGCATGAGATCATAAGGCCACACTCAGGTGTCTAGTATAGAGGTCTTGACAGCAAACTTATTTACATGGTTTCCTTTGGAAATTTTAGTTTTCCTACGTGGTAGCAGTAAGCAGAGTGAAGCAAGGAGTCAGGACTTCTGTAATGTCAGCTAACGACAAAGGAGAAGACAAGAACCATCACCTGGAAAAGTGCCACAGTGTGAGGTCATTTGGTGAAAGGACAAGCTAAGCCCTGCATTGCCTTATAGCATCACTGAACTACAGCCTACTCCAGCAACAGAAGTCCATCCAAGCTTGTTTATGTCCTTAAGGAGTGGTCTCATTAGGCTTCATGAACTCTATTTAATATGACAGGGTGGTGTGTAAAGTGTTTTAGAAGTAGTCCCATTCAAAATAATTTTTTAAAGCCAACTGCATTTTGTTATTGAAAGAGGTATGGTCCAGATATATGGAAAATTAATATCTGTGGAACACCACCCTATTTGTGCTGCTTTATCCCCAGCAATATTATCTTGCTGTAAGAACCTGAAATTTATATTAAACTCAGGGCATGTGCATTAAGTGTCTGTTTATTGACTTCTCTCTCATGTTTTACTAGAGCACTAGCTTTCTAGCTAATGGCACAAAAGCAAGACCAGCCAGCAGGCTTTTAAGGCTGGGCCCAGACTCCTAGTCTTAGGCCTATATAAGCTTGGGAAATCTGTGTAATTGCTCTGTGTCTCAGTTTCCTTTTCTGTTGAATGAAAGAACAGTGCCTTCTCCAAATTTTGATAACATCATGTGACAATCATTGTAATGATATAAATAAGCACATTGAACTCCAGAAAAAGACCCAAGTGGTGAGGATGGGGATGGAGGCGGCAGGTGGACGAAGGATTGCACAGGTGACTAGTAGAAGAGGCTGACAGACAGTTCAGGGAAGTCGTAGGTCAGGCAGGTTGTGGATGCTGGTGGTTCAGACAGATTCTGTAGGTTCCAGGTGAGGTGATTTAGACAGGTCACAGGTCAGGCAGGTGGCAAACAGAGATAAAGAGAGAAAAGAAGAGGAAAGGGACACATATAGGAACATAAAGCATGGGGGAAGGAAAGAAAATTAGGAGCAAGTGAGGAGACACTATGTAAGAGAGGTAAGAGGCTCAGAGCAGTCTCCCCTTGTACCACAGAGATGACCTGAGCTGATTTCAGAGTGAATGTTTTTGGCATTTTTGTCTTCTCTTCCTCCCTGATCTAGAAAATAGTTTTTCACTTGCAGACTTCAAAGTACATATTTTGCCTCATGAAATCTGAAGGTTTTACACGTGAAGAAGAAGGAAAGGTGTCATGTAGCTGACAACTTGGAAGGGTCAGTAGTTGCCATTTATAGACCTTACAGTTGGCCATATAATTTTGCCTTCTCTCCTTTGATCTCTGAACAATCCTGGTTGCTAGAGAGGGCAGGCAATGTCATCTCCATTGAGAGATGAGCACCTTCTGTGTGTGAGGCACCAAATGTCAGGAATGGCCATATTCTCAAGCCTAGTGTGCTCTCAAGAAGCCCTGTCCTTCCTCCCAGGCCCTGGTTCCTCAGCTTGCTTTCCTGGCCCGGAAATTTGATTCTCCCCTTGCCTCTACTCACTTTGCAGCACTGGCAGCAGGGTAGAAAGGAGGTTCTCAATCCTGTGTTTCTTCCTACACATGAAATAGTTCCTTCCATTTTAATATTTTGCATCTCTTCACCCAGAGAGCCAAATGAAGTATCAAAAATAACTAACACACAGCTTACATATGTTCCAGAAATGCAGCTGTATTTGTATAGCCTATAGAAATGGGGTGGTGCTGGCTTCCTTATAACACTTTCTCTGAGATCCTGGAAATTTCTCAGGTTCTTTTTACCACTACTAAGGCTTTCCCCTACTTCCTGATAGCTATGGTCTCCTTGAGATTGAATGTGAATGTGGACTTGAAAAAGACTAGTCTAGTCTGCAGTCTCTTAGGACATGTTATTGACCTTGTGCTGTGTGCTCGGTGTTTATAGGAGCAGGTTCAGCAGGCCCAACTCAAAATAAACTGTGATAGAATTTTCACAGTTCTTCTAGGGCTCAGTACTCATGCCCTCCTGTCCTCTATCATTAAGTCATACTTCATGATGCACAATAAATAATCAGGACAGGGGAGTAGATATCCTACAAAGATATCCTACCTTTAATCTGGAGATGTAGAGATATCCTGCCTCTAATCTGGGGAGCGTTGTCTTTGGGGATTTAATGTTGTGCATATCTTGTGACCTACAGCACCTGACCATTATTACTTGGGATTGTCCCAGGTAGATTTTGATGCCCTTAATGCTTGGCACCAAGGATCTCACACAGAGCCATCTATGTCATTGGCAGATGAGATGACAACCAGAGTTGCACTAAATATACATGTCAAATGGGGAAAAGGTGAAAGAAACCAGCTCAAAGGGTTAGACTGTCCTATGTTACAAAAGAGATTCCAACAATCTTTGGGTATTCTTGTAGGTAGATAAGGAAAGATCGAATCTTAGAAAGCTGTGGTAGTATATAACCAGGACAGCAGGGAATGCCAAGGGATGCAGGCCAGGGCATGTTTGAGGTGGCTCTTCCATGCTTAATCTACCCAATTTGCTCTGAGTATTCTCCCCATACTTCGTTCTCCTCAATATTCCTTATCTTGGGACTTAGACTATAGAGCAAATGGAAGCCTTTTTATTGAACACTATTGCACTACCAGGGAACATCTAAAAATAAAAAATTTTCTTTGGAGAAACAAAGGTATTTAGCTTATCTGCTTTTCGAATTGGGAATTAAGAATAGAAAATGTAAGCTTTACTAAAGCAGTTAAATAATAAGGGAAAGGTGTTGGGAGAGAAGAGGAAGAGATGATAAGAAGAAAGGAAAACAGGAGAGGAAGAGGGAGCAGGCGAGGGAAGGACAGAGGCTGAAGTGTAGAGTGTGGGAAGGGGAGGGGAGGGAGCACAGGGAAGGACAGAGCTAGATGGGCCACAGTCAAGAGTGTGGCTTCGGGGCCAGAGATCTGGATTCTAAATCTGTGAAAATCCCACATCAAGTATCATTGTTAGTTGGTGGAATATTGAAAGGATCCCCCGAGATCAGGAACAAGACAATTCAGCTACTATCGCTGCTTCTATTTGACCTGGTATGGGAGGTCTTAGCTGGTGGAGTAAGGCCGGAAAACACAGGAGAAGGAAGAAATAAAACTTAACTCTTCACAGATGACATGATTTGTGTTCACAGAAATTCCCCAAGTGACTTCAGCAAGGTCTCTGGTACCAGGTCAATATGCAAAAATCGTGTTTCTGCGTGTGAGCACAAGTAAAGAGAAATAGAAATATACAAAATTATGTGTTCAGTAGCATTAAAAACTTCAGATGCCTTTCTGAAACTCATTTTTCTCAAGTGTAAAATTAGGGCCATAAGAAGAATAATAACAATAACAATAATTGCAGCAGCATTAGCCGTAGCTGGGGTTTGTTGAGTACCTACAATATGGCAGATGTTCTAAATCTTTACATGGATTCTTTCTTTTAACCTTCACAACAACCCTTTAATGTTTGTTATGAGGATTAAGCGAGGAAATGTATGTAAGACACTTAGCAAATTTCCTTACATATAATAAATGCTCAATAAATTTTAGCTATATGAAGACAACCATTATTTTAGAGAGATGCATAGACACAGTTTTTAATAGAACTAAGCTGCTATTTGTTTGGTTTAAGATTTGTAGAATAAAAAATCACACATTATGTTGTTTTTTAAAATTGTAAATAGCTCATTAATTCATTTATTCAGCCAGGGACTGCTCCTGAGTCTAGAAATACACTGGGTAAGCAAAATAAGTAAAATCCGTTTACAATTCATGGAGGAAATGGAGATTAATCAAATGGTCTTACAGCTACAAGAATACAGTATAAAAACGAGTTATGAGAACACAAAAGAGGGAACCAGGCCTGGGCCACAGAATGAAAAGAGGCTTTGCTCTAAAAAAAATCACAGGTGAGCTGAGTTCAGAAGGGTAAGTGGGACAGGGGCAGGGATAGGACAATGTTCCCTGGAGCAGAAGCAGTCTCTTTGAAAGGGATGAAGATTCTAGGTGGAGGGAAGGCTTGGCTTGTTTCAGGAACTGAAAAATGTGTGAGTGGCTGGAGCTCAGAGAATGGGAGGGTTCAGGGATGAACTGTGGCTGCAGAGCAGGACAGGGGATAAGCCATTGATTTCACAGTTGTCCTGAGTGGTGGAATGCACTGTAGGGCTTTATGCAAAGGAAAAGAATGGCTTTATGCAAAGGAATTAGTTCCCCAGCACTAACTGGGGCTCCCTGAGCCTTGGCATTATCTCAGAGAAGGCCTGAGGCAGATCAGAGTTTGAGCCTTCTGAACTTCCTTCCACTTTTATGTAACAGAAACTAGTCTATAGGACCCCCAGAAGGGACAAGAAGGCACTAGTGATTTAGTCAGAAGGGAATGTGAAGCTGGAGGGCAGTCCTACAGTCTGACCCTTTGATTAGGTACTGGATAGGGGTTGAGGGGCGTGGGCTAACGGTGGCTGTGTGTGTGTGTGTGTGTGTGTGTGTGTGTGTGTGTGTGTGTGCACGCACGTGCACATGCACACATGCGCATACCACCCTCAGGTCAGGTGGTAGGCTATCTCTCACTCTTCCACACTGTCTTGTCTCTTTCTCTCTCCCTCCCTCTCTCTCTCTCACACACACACATTCACACACACATGCACGCCAGTGTCCTCAGCCTGTGCCTGCCTCTCTACCAGCCTCCTTGGTGCAGGGGAATGGGAATGGGGACTTCATGTGCTGTGTGAGTTCCTTGCTACTACTAGTCTCTGAGGCCAGGGTGAAATCTGAGCGTGGGAGTTCTTGAGGGCTGCACCTCTCTCCTCCTTCCCCCCCATTCCCTGCTAAGAGCCTGACTCTGCCTTGTCTTTACTCTTGCAGCACTCCACTTCGGTGAGCATCATGGGCTTTTCCAACACACTGGAGATGGAGCTGTCATCTACCAGGCTGGCAAGGACTCTAGAACCACAGATCCAGAGCGTGAGCAGCCTGCCTGCCGCCCCTTCCCACATGGTACCAAGCCTGCTGAGCAGCACCCCCACAACTGTGTCCAGCCTGATGAGCAGTCAAAACCAGGCTATGCCCAGCCTGACAGTGGGTCATCTGTCGACCATACCCAGCCTTGTGCGCGGCACACCCCAGTCCGTGCCCAGCCTGATGAGTGATTCCTCCCAGGCCATCACAAGCCTAGCAAGTGATCAGTCACAGGCCAGGCCCAACCTGATGTCTGGTCCCACCCAGGCTATGCCAAGTCTGGCGACTTGTCCTCTGCAGAGCATGCCTCCAGCTTCTGACGTGCAACCAGAAACTGGATCCAGCTGCAGTCCTGGCTCTGGGCGAGCTGTAGGGAGCCTGTGCCCTGGAGATGGGGCTGACCCCTCTCTCGGGAATGCCCTGTGTAAGGTAAGTCCTGGGTAAATACCATTCCACACCCTCTACTCATCACTGGGCAAAAGGGTGGCCGCTGCAGATAAGAGCTTATCCTGGCCTTAGCTTAATAGCTTTATGACCAGTAACAATAAAAATGTCTCATTTCTTTGATTCTTGTTGGCCTTTCGCTTTTGAAAGATGGAAAGTGAGGATTCTACCCGCTTCACTGACTCTCTGAGACAAGACTCCACAACCCCTGGTCTGGATGCTTCCAAGGACTTGGCTATCCCTTCAGAACTAGAGGAGCCAATTAACCTCTCTGTGAAGAAACCCCCACTGGTCCCAGTGATCAACACGTCCGTGGCTCTGCAACAGTACCAGAACCCAAAAGGTGAGGCTCAAGTCAGTAGCCTGTTATTTGTGCTGGCCACAAACATGAGCTCAGCACTCCCAGGTGACAGAGAGGTCAGGAGACAGGCTCTAGGTGTGAGGGAGCAGTGTTTCTCTCTCTCTCTGCTCAGTTCACTTCTTCCCTCTAGAACTGACTTATTGGTACCTGTTCTGTTTTCCTCACTGTGGCCGGGGCTGATCCAGGCATGGCCAAGACTTAGCTCCACGTAACATTCCCATGGAGGTCTGGGTTAGAGGTGGGGGAAGCAGGAAGAACTCATCCCAGAAGGAAGAACTCTTCCTGGGAAGAACACATCCCAAAACTCATCCCAGAAGGGCTAGCCTTGACAAAATATTTTAGGGAACAGAGTATGTGTGACTTTGGAGTCAGGTAGATCTATCATAGAAAACCATCTGTGTCTTTTTATGTTTGATCCTGTGTGAGACCCCTAACCTTTCTGAGGTGATTTCTTTCTCTGAAAATGGGGCTAGTGTAACTACTTTGTAGACTACTGGGCCAAATAACTACAGTGAGATCATTTGATGACTTTCTCTGTAGTAACAAGAACTTGCCTTGCACCCAACAGTCATCTGGATTTATGGTGTGCCTCATAGTAAAGAGAATTTGGACTGGTGGAGATTGGCTCTGATTCTCTTCTCAGCTACCTACACCCCTTCTCAAATGGGACTTGCCTTCTTCTGTGGTAGGCAAGGGCTAGCTGGAAAATTTGTAAGCAACTGCCGAGTGAAAATTTGGGACTTTTTCTGTTTAGTGTATGATGTGTGTTTAGTCTGTAATGATCCGTCTATTTCCCATATATCTAATAAATGAAAATGAAATAATTTTCCCCTTGTTTCTTTGCACTGACTGAAAGACTAACTGAACACTGATTGGTTCTTATTAACTGTGTAATAACGGAAACCTGAATTTTAAATAATCAAATTTTTGGACTGTGCTTGCCCAAGGAAAGTGCCTAGGATAGTGCCTGGTGCTGAGTGGGTGCTCACTAAATGCTAGTATCCTCCTCTCTCCCCACACTGCCCCCTGCCCAGCTACACAGGCTCTACTGCTCTACCCAGGGTAGGCCTCTTGCCTATGTGGTATGAGCTAGATTCTCAGGCAGTACTAGAATATCAGAATTTGGCTGAAAATGCAGAGGCTGGACAGAATGACCCCTGAGAGCATGTAACCCCAGTATATGGGAAACAAGAGATTTCTGAGCTCATTTGTAAGGTGAGAAGCTGGCCCCTCACCTGACCCAACACTCACCCATAGACAGCCTCTGAGTATTGTTTCTCTTTTTAAAAGAAGGTGGCCTTCTTCTCTCAGGAAGGAGAGCCATGTTAGGATTGCCACCATTATGAATGATTACACTGTGGGTAACAGTTGTATGATAGGTGTGTGGCCAAAGGTATGAATAGCACATGAGTGGAAGGTATGGGTATTGGGCATGTTGTTATAAATGTATGTCACAGGTATTTGTCTTTTGCATTAGAGTATGAGAATTTTAAACAAGGAGCCCTGGAATTGGATGCAAAAGGGAACCAGAGTATCAGGTAACAGGCTCTTGGCCCAACCTCCCTCTCCCACCCCTCAACTTCATGTCCTGGGAGGTTGGCACAGAAAGTCAGCACACTTGATGACTTCACTAGAAGCAGAAGTTTGCCTGCAACTGTCCTCTTCAACTCCCAGGCCCTTGAGTAGGATCTGTGTGGTTGGGAGTCTGGGATGCCTGTGGGAGTCTGGAATGCCTGTGGGAAGCTATCCTGGCTCCTGCAACAGAGGGCATGTGCTCTGTGTGAAGTCCTCCCTCTTTAGGAATCCCCTCTTCTTTGAGCAAACAGCTCGCCGGGGGTGGGAGGGAGAAACATGGGCCTGCATGGGGTGGGACTGAGGAGATCTTGAGCAGCAGTTCAGTTGTCGGATCATGGTTGAGCTGACTTAGAGGCTGGGGTTAGAGGAGGCTCCCACTAAGACCCAGGGGTGTCTCTCTTGCCACAGGCCCTTCAACAGCGAGCCTAAGATTCCCTATGTGCGACTGGAGCGGCTCAAGATCTGTGCTGCCTCCTCGGGAGAGATGCCTGTGTTCAAGTTGAAGCCCCAGAAGAATGAGCAGGATGGGAGCTTCCTGCTGATCATCGAGTGTGGCACTGAGTCCTCCAGCATGTCTATTAAGGTACCACTCTGTTCTGTCTTGTCCTTGAGCTTGGCCCACCTTAGGAGCCTCTCTTCTTTCTCCACTTCATTCAGAATTCTGGCTCTGGCCTTGTCCAGAGTCTGAGTGGGGCTGCAGCCTGACCAGACTTGTCCTCGGCTGCCAGGGGCTTGTGAGATGCATATCAGGAGGCTCAGCATTCTTGGGGCTCAGCTGGCCTGGGGGCCTGGAATAAATTAGTGCCCAGGGCTTGTCAGTCCCTCCTCTCCCTCCCTCCACAACTTGTTGGTGCTGTGCTGACTGCTCAGACTCACTTCTTCTCCAAGGTCAGCCAGAACAACATGCCTGATGCCATCCAGGCCCCAAGTCTGGGGGGAAGAAAGGTCACTGTCACTTCTCTGGCGGGGCAGCAGCCACCAGAGGGGGAGGGTGCATCTCCTGAAGAACAAAGACTCATTCCTCGGACCCCTGGAGCCAAGAAGGGGCCCCCGGTACCAATAGAGAATGAGGACTTCTGCGCTGTGTGCCTCAATGGGGGAGAGTTGCTGTGCTGCGATCGCTGCCCCAAAGTGTTCCACCTTTCCTGCCACTTGCCGGCCCTGCTCAGCTTCCCCGGGTGAGTTGTGCCAATCTAGGGCCATTGGCTGCCTAGCAGGGTGATCTTCCAGGGATGACTATTCCAGGCCAGGCCCACAGAGCTCCTTCAAATGGGCTTCCTCCCCTCTCTGGGCCTGCATGAATTGCAGGTATGTGAGTCAGTGGCCCTACTGCCTTGTGCCTTCTATGCATGGATAGGAAGGTGTTTGAAATTTGAGTGGCTGTTTTTCTTCCTCTGTTCCCAGTTTCTTCCTACACACACAGGTTTGTCCCCATACTCCTCTCTCAGCCCCTTGCTAAATCCAATTTTTTTCTGGATTCACTCCATCCCAAGTTAGTGAATTTCTTTAAAGCTTGTGGTTAGGAAGCCATTCCCTACAGGGCAGGCCTAGGGACTGAGTCTCCCATACCATTCTCTCTCTCTGCCCCCATCTTGGAGCAGAGGGAGAGGGGAGGTGGTTCTGGGCCACCTGCTGATGCCTAATTTGGCCTCATCTGCCTCTGCAGGGGAGACTGGGTATGTACCTTGTGCCGCAGCCTGACCCAGCCCGAGATGGAGTACGACTGTGAGAATGCCCGCTATAATCAGCCTGGAATGCGGGCCACTCCTGGCCTGAGCATCTATGACCAGAAGGTAAGGAGGGGTTTCTGAAAACAAGGTTCCCTGCCTGGGGCAGCCTCCCTGTGCCAGGGGCTGAGGCCTTTCTGAGGGGGATGGGAAGTCTCTCCAGGTATCTCTCTGTTGGGCTATGCCTGACAGCTTGGCCCATGGGGGTTTTTGCTATGGATTCCCTTCTGCCAGCTGTCTTCCTCTAGTCTAGCAGGCTGTGCTGTGCCTTAACGTGTTGGCCCACGCCCTGTGGGACAGAGCTGACCCCGCTGGAGTTATCAGGGTCACTGTCTTCAGTTCTTGAGATGGGGCCAGGCCGAAGTAACGTGCTGCCATTCTGGTTTCTGCAGAAGTGTGAAAAGCTGGTACTGTCCTTGTGCTGCCATAGCCTCAGCCTGCCCTTCCATGAACCTGTCAGCCCGCTGGTAAGGAAGGCTTCCTGTTTCTGCCGGCTCCGAGGGCCGTGGGCCTGGGTGTGAGTCCAAGTGCTACCCTGGGGCAGGCTCAGGTCTTGGCCGCTGGAAGTCTGATTAATCCGTGCATGGGCTAGCGGACTCAGTGTGGCCACTGCAGCCCCCCAGCCCAGCTGCTGCTACACCACACCTGACTTGACAGTGAAACATTCCTCCTTCTCCCTTTTTGTCTCTTTTCTTCTCTTTTCTTCTTGCTGCTGTTCTCTTGTGTCCTTTCACATCTGTTTCAACTCATTCTCCATCTCTCCCTCTTTCTTCTCTGTACCTCTACTTCTCTCTTCCTGCTTTGCTTCCCCTTCTTTGCTCCCCCAAGGCTCGGCATTACTACCAGATTATCAAGAGGCCCATGGACCTGTCAATCATTCGGAGGAAGCTGCAAAAGAAGGACCCAGCTCACTACACCACCCCAGAGGAGGTGGTGTCAGACGTCCGCCTCATGTTCTGGAACTGTGCGAAGTTCAATTATGTATGTCTTGCCTGTTTTCCCCCTCCTCTATTTCCCAGTGACCCCAAGACTCATGCCTGGATGGGGGATATCAGGTTTGGTCCTGAGCTGCCATAAGGACATGGGAACCTTTTAGGGTCTCCCGTAGTGAGTGTTTAAAAGCTCTCTCCCACACTTGGGCCTCAGTGTGGACTCAGAAGGAAGAAGGGGGGAATGCTAGTGGTTGGCCCTCTGTGGGTAGCTGTCAGGGTCACTTCTGCTTGAAGAGATGGTACTAAACTGGTTATCTTGAGTCTTCAGGAGAAAATGTCACATTCTAGACCTCCAGGAAACCTAGCCAGGCTTTGTGCTCTTTGTATAGCTCTTGAGGGACCTGGAAGAGATGGGGTGGTGGATACGGGCCAGACCATCACTGCTCTCCTTCCCCTTCAGCCCGACTCAGAGGTTGCAGAGGCCGGCCGCTGCCTGGAAGTGTTCTTTGAGGGCTGGTTGAAGGAGATCTACCCGGAGAAACGGTTTGCCCAGCCAAGGCAGGAGGACTCAGACTCCGAAGAGGTGTCAAGCGAGAGTGGGTATTCCACTCCGCAGGGTTTCCCATGGCCCCCCTACATGCAGGAGGGCATCCAACCCAAGAGGCGGCGGCGACATATGGTAAAGAGTTGCTGCCAGCTGGCAGGCAGGTTGTGGGGCCGGTGGGTGGGCAGTCAGGGGGCACCCAAGCAGTGTGTACAGAGCAGCCTAAAGCAAAGCTGCTGGAGGCATAGAGAGTGCTCAGAAGGAACCCTTGCTCCCAAGCCTGTAGTCTAACAGGAAGTCAGGGCAGTGCAGGGCTCATCAAGTCTCATTACCACTGAGGCTTGGAACTCAGAGAGGTGGATGCGTCTGCCCAGGGTCACCCAGCAAATTAACAGCAGAATCAGGGTGGGAAGCCAGGTCTCCCGATTCACAGCTCAAAGCTGATTCTTCTCCACTGTGGTCCCTGGAAGAAGAGAAACATCTGGTCTCAGGGCCTGGTCTCAAATTCCGTTTGGGAGAAAGGAAGGGATATTTTCAGCCCCTTGGTGTAGAGAAGGAGGGAGAGGTGTTGCTTACAGTAGAGAGAGCGCTTCTGACCTGTGTCTGGTCCCACATATGCAGACATGGGACACAGTTCAGTGCTGTTTCATTCCACTGAAATGTCTTGCCTGCCTGCCTGCTGTGTGCAGCCATCCCCAGTTGTTTACATCACTTGGCCCACCATGTTTAGTGGCTGCAGTGAGTTTTGCTGTTGCTTCCCGGGGCAGAGGAAAACACTTTGGCTCTGGGGAGTCCCAGTCTGGACACTTTGCCTTTGCACGTTAATAAGCACTACCTTTGGTTATTTTGATTCCACACACACATATTTTTTTTTTTTCAGGAGAATGAAAGAGCAAAAAGAATGTCGTTCCGCCTGGCCAGCAGCATCTCCCAGGTGTGAGAGCTGGCGGTACAGCGAGCACTCTGGCAGCTGGCGCCTCATGCTGTTGACCACTCCTCCCCACCTTTCAGCTCATTCTCTTCAGATCGTGGATGTGAGACAAGTCTTGTCGAGCTGTGTAGTGCTCTTTGCCGTTTGCATCTTACAACATTCATTTGGGAGCCATAGTGCATCCACTACAGAGAAGATTTTGGTAATAAACAGCAAAGAGGGAGGTGTTCCCTATTACCAGAAAAATCAGATGTGTGGGGTCCACTTGACAAGACCAAGTCTGGTCAGGCTTGGGAGGACTTAACTTCCTTGGTGACTGCTCTCTGCTGAGGAGAGCAGACTTTTCTCACCTTTCAGTGTGCAAGGCTCAGGAGCAATGTATCTATCTGAAGTCCTCCTGGGTCCAGAAGAGGGTAAAAGAAGGGAGAGAGGTTCTGACATATGGCAGGCCTGTGATCCCTGGCCCAGCACAGCCAAAGACTGTCACTGTTTGCCTTTGCTTGGCCTGCTAGGACAGGAAGCTCCCCTGGGCAGGGTGATGGAGGCTTCCAGAGGCCATAGGTCTCAATTGGTGCCTATTTGGGTTCTAATGGTTTTCAGGGTATTTGTTTCTCATGCTCCCTGTCCCGATGTTGACTTAGGTGGCCGCTATGAAAGTGCTCTAGGTGGTATGTATGGCATTCTTGACGGGGCCAGGTGGCTGTGCAGGGACCACCGACAGCTTCAGGCTCAGACGTGCAGGCTTAAGGAGATGTCAACTTCAGAGCCTGTCCTCTGTGCCACTTACTTTGGGTTAATAACTCTTCTTTAGTGTCAGAACCTGCCTTCCTAGAAGTGATTGTCAGTGGCCATCCCTTCATTGTCTCCACTCAGAGATCTGGAGCCCGAGTTCTGCTTGGGTAAACCTGAGAGTTGGGTTGGGCAAGGGGAGTGACCCAGAACTGGCTCGCTGTGCTAGGCTTCTCCTCTGTCGTAGAGATCCTAGTTCTCAGCCTTTCCACGTTCGCAGAGCCAAAGATTAGAAGTGAGTTCTCGGACTCACTCACCCCCAGGCTGTCTGCAGCCCCAAAAAAAGTCAGGACTCTACTGGCAGCCCTTTTCTGTTGGAGGTTGGAGAAGGCCAAAGGGACTGCCAGGAGCGTGGTGTAATCATTCATGGGGGAACTGTCTAGGGTAGAGAAGAGGAAACTGACAGGTGAGAAGCCAGTGTCCTTCAGTGACTTTGGAGCAACTTCAGGACATCACTTCTCCGAGAATGCAGAAGGAAATGTTCTGGAAGCCATGGGAACAGGAATTCCAGACTCTATCTCAGATGGAGATGGATCTTCATGGTCCGTGTGGGGTGTTTGGGGAAGGCTGCATAGGCAGATGCTGGGGGTCAAGCTACTTCCTCAGCCAGGACTTAGTTGAGAAGGACCCTATTGCTGATGGTGTTGGGGGAGCTGCAGACCTGGCGCTTCAGTGGGCTGGCCCAGAGACATCACTTTGTCGTGGCTTGGCTTTATTTTTGCTAAAAGATGAAATTTAAGGAAGCTGTTGTTTGTAGGGCCTTTGTTAAGGGGAACATTGTGCTCAGAGAAAGCTCTGCTTTCCTTGTCAGTCGGTGGTGCTGCTCATTTTCTTTGCCACCCAGGCTGAGAGGCCATCCTCCGCCGGCCATTCTTTCACCAGCACCTGCCAGGCTCTCCTGCGCAGACAGGCTTCCATAATCCCGTTTCCCAGTTTGGGGTAACTAAGTCTTTCGTGCTTCACTAGCCAGGCAATCTTTAGACCTAGCCCTCTGTTCTTTGGGGCTCACATGACTCTCTGGCTTGGGCTCTGGCCACTTTCCTTTCAATGTTTGAATCGTTTTCTCTGTTTAGTTGACTTGGCGAGGTTCCCTCTGTAATTACCTCATGAATTCATGCTCTAGGTCATCTTTCCTGTGTTGTGGCCCCCATTTCCACCTTCCCTGAGTGAGAATCATGGTGCTTTGTGTCAGATAGCCAGGTGAGGGCTGTGACAGTCTCAAACCTGACTGAGATCCTTCCACAGGACCAACCGGAGACTACAAATATGAAGCAGAAATGCGGGGCTAAATGCTTAGCTCCCCTTTTATTCGTGAAGCTCCTAGCTGGGTATAGCCTGCTGGGCCAGGGGATCGTAGTAACGTAGTCGAGAGTCACGTATTCCTTTCCCACCGCAGAGACCCTGCATGCTGAGAGGCCCACTTTCGGCACCTGAGCAGATGTAGGGTATCCTCCCTGCAAGGGTGCAAGGTCATGGCCCGCCACACCACCCCTGCACTGCTTACCCCACACCACTGCCCTCCCCCAGGCTTTTCCTGTGTACTTAGCACCAATGTTTTGTGTCATGGTTTTTGTTTTGTTTTGTTTTGTTTTGCATGCAGAAAACGGAACATGACTTTTTATAAATTAAAGAAAAAAAAAGCTGCTAGCTGAGTGACTGACTTCAGTGGCTCTTCCTTAACATCTGAGCTGTTCCTGCTTTTGACTCACTCCCACAATGGCCCCTTTTGAAGTCAGGGAAGTCCTTTGGCCCTTGACAAAGTCATGAAATGGAAATACAGCAAGTTCCGGGGCCTCACAGTATAGAATGCAGTCCTAGAGGAGAAGTTGGGCCCTTGGACGTGGGAGAAACAGGAGAGCCAAGCGGCTTCAGTGGAGGCAAAGGGGGGGTTTCAGTGCAAACACTGCTGCAGGATGAATTGCAGAGTCCTCTTCCAGAACGTGGGCAGGCTGGCCCTACCTGACTCCTAATAATTGCCAACTATACCCTCTGCAGGTCCTCCTCCCACAGTGGCAGCTGCTGGGCCCTCTGTAGGCTCTGCGCCAGGCAGTCCTCACCATCAGACTCGGTGGGTTCTGGCTCCCTGTGCCCTCTTCTGGTGACAGCTCTTTGCCTTGCTCCTAAGACCTAGACCCCTCCTTATTTGTTCCTGGGCTCCGCTCTGCTCCCTCTCTGACTCCAGGATGCCCCCTGTAGTTTTCCCTTCTGAACCCCCCAACACCTTCTGGATCACCATGTCCTGTGCTTCCTCTTCTGCTTCTCCCTCCCTCCCTGCTGTTTATTTAAATGCCTGCTCCTTTAGCTCAGTTTCCTGACCCTCTCTCTCTTTCTTTGTTCTCCCAGTCTTTCAGCCTTCTCCTGGTGGGCTGCTTCTTCTCCCTACCCTGAACCTGTGGCCCATCACACACTGACCTTTTTTATCAGCATCCTGAACTTTCTTATCCTCTCCATCTCAAAACTTCCCCTGAAACTGCCAACCATTCTCCATTTTCTGCATCAGCTTATTTGCTGCTCTGTCTTCCTGGGTTGCTAAACATGACAGATTCAGAGTTGACACCCTCAGATGGGCTGTCAGCATTGAATGGGTATCTTTGATGTGATTGCGTTGCTCTCTGTCCACGCCCCTCATCTTTGCTTTCAGCCAACGACTGACCTCACTGCCTATTCACAGAAAAGTCCCTAAAGCAAGAACCTCCTTGCCCATTGGCTCCTTTCTCCTTCCCATCTGTCTGTGTCTACATCCCTCCTCACATCCTTCCCTTTTGCTCCTGTTGGGTGCTCTGTTTCTTGAATCCTGCTGTATGGCCTCCAAGACTTTGCTCTGCCCCTCATCCACTGCCCCATTTGCTGGGGTCTTAACTTCCCTCTCACTGGTGCTCCACATAGCCTACAAACAAGCAAAGGTCTCCCCAAGACTAAAGCAAAACGCTTAGGGTATGTTGCCCCTTATACATTTTCCTTATTAGCCAAGTTTCTTTTTTTTTAAATTTTTATTAAAAAAATTTTTTTAACATTTATTTATTTTTGACAGAAACAGAGCATGAGTGGGGGAGGGGCAGAGAGAGAGGGAGACACAGAATCCAAAGCCAGCTCCAGGCTCTGAGCTGTCAGCACAGAGCCTGACATGGGGCTCGAACCCACGAATCACGAGATCATGAGCTGAAGTTGGATGCTCAACTGACTGAGCCACCCAGGAGCCCCCAAGTTTCTTTAAAAAAGGATTTTTTCCATTAGTTCTTCTCAGTCGCTCTTCAACCCTACACAGTTTTTCATAAAAGTCACCAGTGACCACCCATTGCCAAATAGAAAGAAGACCTTTCAGTCCTCAGCTGTCTGGAACTCTCCACAGCATTTCACACCACTTCACAGCATTTCTACCACTTCCTCTTTGAAACAGCCCCTTCACATGGCCTTTATGACACCATAGGTCCCTGGATTATTCTCTTACCTGTTAGCCACACAGGCTGAGCTTTTCTTAAAATCTTGACAAGGGAACACATCCATAGCGCTTTGTGGTCTCTCCCCTTCAGGAATTGGGCCATCAGGACGAAGCACAGCCGTTCTGCTCCCCACCCTCTAAGTCTCCCGTTTTCCTTGAGTCCGTTTCTTCTCCTGGACTCAGTTCTCCCCATGCCAGTCATGTTTATGAACTCTCTAGGGAGGACAGCATCTGTGAGCCCTTCCCTCTGTTTTTCCCAGTGCATCATGGAGACAGGTTTTAGCTTTAGTCGCCAAGAGGTCCCATCTAAATCAGCCCACGAATGTGGATTGAGCCTTACCAAGAAACCGTTTGATAAATGGGATTCCCAGGCTGATGGGCAGCTCCCAAGTACAAGTTAGAGGCACTTGGGATCATGGTATACCATGTTGCCATGCATGGTTCAGTGAGCTCCTAACCAGGAGGAGGATCCTGGCAGGGGTGAGTGTAATACTCACTGGTAATACTGGTAATACTCTGGTAGAGGGAAAACTGAGAAGTGCTATGATTCATCACTTCCTTGGGGCTCTGCTGAGGTCATCCTGGCCTCTTTTAGCCAGGTCTTTCCCATCTGATCATCACCACCTGCTTGCTCCAGTTGTTCCTAGAGCTGGAGGTAGATGGTGGTTGTTTTCTTGGAGGTGGGGAAATATAGTAGAAACTTACGTGACTTGAGATGCTGAACACCTAAATTTCACCTCTGCCAGTTATGAGCTTTGTGACCTTGGGTACAGTTTCCCCT